AAGAGTCACATTCAAAAAGCTAAAGGCACTGTGGTATTTAAGGGCATCATTAGGGCTAATTCAAATTGAGCTAGGTGAAGGCAGTATGGCCACTCTGAGGTTTGCATTGCACTTTGTAGGGCAGACAGCCCTGGCTGCCACAGGAAACAAAACTTGCCAAGAATATTGGCTTCTTTTGTCCTGCACATTGACATTTACCTTTTACTTTCTTCCAAACTAGTGTAGAACAACCTTGCATTAAAACATACGCTTTAATGAAAAAAAAGTATCAAAGTATTGATTTTAAAATAGACTGTACCATGCCTAAGAAGGAATTACTGAGTGCCATTGCAGTTTAGGCAACAGAAGCTAGAGATATCTTAATGTTTTTCACCTTTCAGGAAATCAGCTGAAATTTGCCCCTTATTTCAAAAACTCTATAGCCTGACAGCAGAGGATTTACCCAGAAGACGTCCATCCCACTACTTCACAAATTCTCTGCAAACACACTCAGTCTCTAGGGTCCTTTCTCCAGGGGAGTCAACCAGATTGAGTCCCATCTTGTACCGCTGTCATGCAAGATTTCCATGTGAAGCAGTCTATCACAAAACCAGTTCATTTTTCTTCCCAGCTTATCAGATTTTTTTTACTAAATTAAACAGTAGTTTGCTATAATAATTAAAGCCTGAGCCTGGCAGAGCTGTAGGAGATATGGGTACTACCATCAATTTTCTTGATGACATTTGGCAAAGATTTGAAGGCCCGGTGTGGTAAATCACTTAAATTTGAGCTTGGCTTTAAACAGATCACTGGTCCCATTGATCAATGTCTAAATTACTCTTCACCCCAGTTTCTCTCACTATCTGATCTGATCTCTTTCTATGACCAGGTGACCCGCCTAGTGGATGAGGGAAAGGCTGTGGATGTGGTCTACCTGGACTTCAGTAAGGCCTTTGACACCGTCTCCCACAGCATTCTCCTAGAGAAGCTGGCGGCTCACGGCTTAGACAGGTGTACTCTGCGCTGGGTAAAAGCCTGGCTGGACGGCCGGGCCCAGAGACTTGTGCTGAATGGAGTTAAATCCAGTTGGCGGCCAGTCATGAGCGGCGTTCCCCAGGGCTCAGTTTTGGGGCCGGTCTTGTTCAATATCTTTGTCAATGATCTGGATGAGGGGATCAAGTGCACTCTCAGTAAGTTTACAGACGACACCAAGTTGGGTGGGAGTGTTGATCTGCTCGAGGGTAGGAAGGCTCTGCAGAGGGACCTGGACAGGCTGGATCGATGGGCCGAGGCCAACTGTATGAGATTCAACAAGGCCAAGTGCCAGGTCCTGCCCTTCGGCCACAACAACCCCATGCAGCACTACAGGCTTGGGGAAGAGTGGCTGGAAAGCTGCCTGGCGGAAAAGGACCTGGGGGTGTTGGTTGACAGCCGGCTGAACATGAGCCGGCAGTGTGCCCAGGCGGCCAAGAAGGCCAATGGCATCCTGGCCTGTATCAGAAATAGTGTGGCCAGCAGGAGTAGGGAAGTGATCGTGCCCCTGTACTCGGCCCTGGTGAGGCCGCACCTCGAATACTGTGTTCAGTTTTGGGCCCCTCACTACAAGAAGGACGTCGAGGTGCTGGAGCATGTCCAGAGAAGGGCAACGAAGCTGGTGAGGGGTCTGGAGAACAAGTCTGATGAGGAGCAGCTGAGGGAACTGGGGTTGTTTAGCCTGGAGAAAAGGAGGCTGAGGGGAGACCTTATCGCTCTCTACAACTCCCTGAAAGGAGGTTGTAGCGAGGTGGGTGTCGGTCTCTTCTCCCAAGTAACTAGCGATAGGACGAGAGGAAATTGCCTCAAGTTGTGCCAGGGGAGGTTTAGACTGGACGTGAGGAGAAATTTCTTTACTGAAAGAGTGGTGAAACATTGGAAGAGGCTGCCCAGGGAAGTGGTTGAGTCACCATCCCTGGAGGTATTTAAAAGACGAGTAGATGAGGCACTTAGGGACATGGTTTAGTGGGCATGGTGGGGTTGGGTTGACAGTTGGGCTCGATGATCTTAGAGGTCTTTTCCAACCTTAATGATTCTATGATTCTATGATTCTATGACTATTTGTTACAGATGCTGATGAAATTTGCCAGCCAAAGAAAGGTTTTGTGAGTATTCCCGCAGGAACACCTGCAAAATACTTTGAGAAAGTTGGCTGGAAAATGGACTAGAAATATAAACACCCAGAAAATTCCACTAGTTTACCAGATATTTGTAATCGACTAACTCAAACTACCCTTTGCCTCATTTACCAAACGGATAGCAGCTGACCAAACCAATTACAGCTTCTCCTTAAATAAGGCAATAGCCTGAGTGGGTAGACAGAAGTTATGGGGCTGGGTTTTGGAGAAGGGCTTTTTGAGATAGAATCTACCCTTCTTTTTGCAAAAGCAGCAAAAGTGTTATGCTATCTATAGAGAAAACCATGATCTTCCATTATTGCCATGTATACTGTAGAACTAAGGCAGGGTCTACCAGCTTCTACCTGTGAAAAGAGGGGCACAGGAGTAGTGAGATATGGCAACGTTGACTAGCTGCAAACAGCATCACCGCTACTCCAGGAAGGATGATCTCCTCACCAGCATCTCTTGAGTTCCCCTGTGTCAAATGCTCCCTGCTTAAAAAGCTGGGATAAAATTTGTGTGTACTGTTTGCTCTGCTTCAGATGGCCGTTCTTGCAATGCCTCTCTCCCTGATTTACACTTTTCTCATGTGAAGGAGACACAGAGGTTTTAAAACATTTTTAGATCCAGAGCTGCAGCAAGAGGGTGGCCCCGCTGGCTGCTGCTGAAACAGAAATTACTCTTCCAGCACTGATTTTAAAGAAAGGCCCCCTGTGGCTGTATTTAGTCTATCCAGAGTCTAACAGATAGCGGAATAATCTTAGGAACTTTCAGGTGAATACTTTGATAAGTTATTACTGTTCCCTTGGGTACCCCAGAGAAGTAATTTGCATGTGAAATTTAAGTAGGTAAGTTATATATAACAAGAAAAGATGTGATTGATAGAAAGCTGTAGTCAGATTTTAATTTTTGTCATTGGATATTTTATCTTCAGGTTAGAAACCACACTGTTATCTGAGCATCCCTGCTGCTGTGAACCACAGGGCCACCTCAGATTACTAATACTACTTTAAAAAAATTAGGGGAAAACATATTTTTAACTTTTTTTCAGTGGACCAACTTTGTATGTTTGGCAGCTCTTTGTAAGTATTTCTCCAGGTAACAAGTTCCCCATTTTCTTCTCCTACCTGCTCTGACATGAGAGAAAAACAACTTGAAAACAAGGAGAAAATGTGCCACAAACTCATTTAAATTGCCAGTTAGAGTCAAGGGCAAGTAAAGAAAGTGAAACTGCTTCCAGTCCCCGCCAAACTACTTCTTCCCCCAGGAGCCAGGGGAACTCTTTCATGTGCTAGCAAATTGCTCTCCTTCAGCTGCTTACCCAGCTCCCAGGTCCAGCAAAGCACAGGAACTTGTCTAGGAATTTTTCTTTGGAGCTACCTGCATGCTTCAGATGGTACTTAAATGTTTGCTGGTTTGCTTCAGACCCTTAGTTGCAGGCTTTAACTTTTCAGCTTTCTCAACCTTTTTCTGAGCAAAGCAAAAAACTTAGCAGACTTTGTATTATTAACAGTGACCTAGTGAAACCTTGTTCCTGAATTGCTTTTACGAACCTGTTGCTGTCACAGCCCTGAGCACAAGCTCCACCGACTGGTTTAAAATCCAAAACCATAGCTCAGTGGCTCAGAGTTTATTATGCTGCCAAACAAACACTCTCATTTCAATTATACAATTGTGAAATTCCTCAACAATAAAAAATCCAGTGGTCTGCAACTATGCCAAAATATTAGAATAGTTAGAGAATTTAAGTCTCATTATGAAGAAAAATATGAAGCCAATACCAAATGTTGCGAGGAAACTGAAATTGTGAATAATACAATCGTGAATACAGAAAGAAGCCAGACTTGTGAGAGAGCCTGGGGAACTACCTAACCAAGGAGAGGAATCACAGTGACACTCCAGGTACTGCAGTGTTAGATATATCTCTTGATACATGCAGTTTGCTATCAGTTTTCATGAAAAATTCTTTGTCTCAAGACCATGACCAAGTCCCAGAAAAAATGAATAGGCTGATCAGATTTTTCTTTAGTTTTGTAAGAAGCATCTAAAGCAAGCAGCCATCTGGAAAAGCAGCAGATCTGAGATTATCTTGAGTAAGTCAATTTAGCCGTTATTCCTAGGCTGCAGCCTGAAGGAAGGGTGGGTGTGTGCAGTGAATGAAAATTGTCCTGCCAGTATGCTGGTCTGCTCCACTTGCCAGTTAGGAACAGGGCACGAGAGAAATGGGGGAGATCATTAACTTATTTCTGTCATTCAGATCCATCTCACCTAATTTATGGTACTTAACTGAGCGCCTAAGAGAGAAGCCTCCCTGCCCTAGGCTCTCTGTAAGGACAACACACCACCACAGCATCACTCATGCCACCTAAAACCTGAATCACCCTTGGTTTTATCAGAATTGGTGCTCAGGAAGGCTGTGCTCCTAGCCTGTGCTCCACAGACAACTGGGATCTAGGCCTTACTGAAGGAACAGAGCTAGCTATGACATATACAACTGAATCCGAAGTAACAAGTGATAGGACGAGAGGAAATGGCCTCAAGTTGCGGCAGGGGAGGTTTAGATTGGATGTAAGGAAAAATTTCTTTACTGAAAGAGTGGTGAAACATTGGAACAGGCTGCCCAGGGAAGTGGTTGAGTCCCCATCCCTGGAGGTATTTAAAGGACGTGTAGATGAGGCGCTTAGGGACATGGTTTAGTGGGCATGGTGGTGTTGGGTTGACGGTTGGACTCGATGATCTTAGAGGTCTTTTCCAACCTCAATGATTCTATGATTCTATGATTCTATGAATACAGATTAGTAGATCTTTTACCCCTCACCTTCTCTCCTCTCAATGTGTCCGAGCCTGCCATTCGCACATCTTTTGTAGGAGTGATGCTCAAGAGCCTAGCTTCAAGGCTCTTCATCTAGGAGGGACCCCAGTGGAAAACAGCCTGTTTGCCACCCTCCGCAGTGATGACTACGGAGATCTTTCGAGCAGCCTTGGAGCCAGAGAGAGCTCTGCTATCAACCAAAGCCATTTTGCCATTGTGGGTATTAGCGTTCTCTTTGGTCCTTTGTCATCACTTAGCCTGATTCACCTGCTGGGAGACTGGGGAAGACCTTCCATAACAGAGTCCCAGCAACCTGCTCGCCACACGTCAACGTCATATGGAGTATGAGGAGCCCTTGGAAAGGAGTTGGGTTGCATCACCATAGGGAGTTGCACCACGGCAATAACACTTGATCTTCTGGGCCTGTACTGTCTTCTTACACCTAGAGAAACAGCTCTCTTCGGCGAAGCTAAGAAAACAATGTGTAGGTGCATGTGCACGTGAGAGTGAGCGTAAACAGTTTTAGGTTTGCTACTATTTGCAATGTTAAAGGGCGGTGGGTCTCTTCATGAGCTTTTTCCAGTACTGTGTGACATGTGAGGCTGCCTGGAAAAAGACGACTTCTACTAGCAGCGAGTACTTGAAGATAACTGACAAAAATGTAAACACTGTGCGGATTCCAAGTCTGTTCAGACGTTTTGATTGAACAAGCTATACTTCCAGATGCTTTTCCATACTTCAGTAGGTGAACTGTGCTTTAGTCGTTAGATAGAAAGTTGCATTAAGACAATGTTCAAAACAAGAAATCCTCTGGGGCATTTATTTCATGGGGAGGCATATTGATGTTGCAGGGATTTTGAAATGATTGGATTCTCTAAAGCAATACGAGTGACTAATTTCCCTTTCAATGAATCCACATACACTCAGCTTTCATGTTTTGAAAGGCAGCCAAAGTGACATTCTTTCAGGCTTTAAGTTGATATAAATAAAGTATAACAGAGAGCCCCAATAGCAAAGTTTATCAATGACACATGCCTTAGTTAGAATTTACACATGGACACGGATGGATTTTCCACTTTGTCTTCAGCTGGCTCTTAAAGAATGTCATCAGTTGCCGTAAGCTGGCAGTTTCCAGCCGCAATTCTTCTGAGAGGGTGATACAAGACCCCCACACACAGATGATCTAGAATGACATTTGGAGAGCAGCAGGCTGAGGTGAAACACAGGTCCACAAAGTGCAAGGTACTTTACAACCCTCCATTTGGGCATGGAGACCTTATGGTTTTTACAATATAAAGAACAAGATAAAGTAGAAAGGGACATACTGGTGAAGTGAGCCAGGAGATGTGACACACACAGTTTGCTAATTCCCCTTCTGGCCCTCCCCATGATTTTTTTTTTTTGTATCAATAAAATTGTTAGCTGTAGACCTTACCTATTTTGACATATTTAACTGAATTCTACTACAGTTTTTAAAATCATGTTTTTCCATTCTTTCTTTTCTTCATTCTTTGCTGGGGAAAACCAACACATGAGAGCAGCTAACTGAATTCTACTACAGTTTTTAAAATCATGTTTTTTGATTTTGATTTTTTGGGGAAAACCAACACGAGAGCAGCACGTAGTGATGATGCAGCACCTGAGCTAGAGGATCCCCTCTCCTAAATTGCATCCTGTGCTGAAGCACAGGAGAGAAGCAGCAGCTGACAGAGCAACAACTTCTGATCTAAAGACTTTGCCCAGATAGTTTGCCTTTGTTTGGGGAGATTTTTGGATGAATTCCTGCTATACAGCCTCACCAGGGCTTTTCCAGACTGTATTTCTGTAGCTTGAACTACAAGAGTTGATTCCTTCTTTTCCTCTTGCTTACGCATGTGACAGTGAGAGGTTATTTGGACTGGTCTAAACACCGGTTAGGGGTCATCTCCTCATTAACCAAGCCCCCCCAAAGAGCTATTGGGCGGCCAAAGAATAAACATTTGCAGCATGGTGGATTTCTTCCATTTCAGGGCAAAGCAGGTTGAATATTTGAGCTAAGATGCGCTCTCCCTGCCTTTAGTTTCTCTTTTATGCCTCCAAGAGTTCCTTCTCTCCCTCACCATTGAGGCCAAGCTCATCCTCCAGGTCTTCATGGCTCTGACTCTGCCTCCTTCTTACATTTTACTAACTCTCACTCTCTTCGCCAATGTCTTTCTGGGATTCTCACTTCCCTGTCTTCTTCCATCCCACCCCAAGCCTGGACTGCTGAGTGGCTTTGTTCTCTCACTTCAAATTCATCATCAAAGAAAAGCTCATTTGAAAAAGCTTACGATCGGCATTAGTTGCCTACCTCTGCCACTGGCTTTTGTATTTTTTTAACGTGTATGTTTGAACTAGACTTCAAGTTCTTTGGGGCAGAGCTGTATTTTACCTGAATATTGACAAGGAAGGTCAAAAAGAGGATGACAAGGAGGAAGGAATGAGCTTCAGCAGTGTAATCTACAGGAACTGAATCTGCAAAAATTGTATCATTTTTCAGCAGCATAATCACAAAACAACAGCATACCAATGGCAGATGTAAAAGTAAAGAAGTAACCCCAGGCACTTGTGGTATAGAAACATAGGTATGTGGTCCAGAAAATGCCTTTCTGCATTTAATAACTAAGCCTGACATTATAAAGCGCTCGTGAATAAAATGAAAGGGGTTCCATATCAGAGTATGCTCAAAATGAGAGGTATGTTGCAAGGAAATTCTAGCTAAAAAATGTCCAACTAATCCAAGTTCTCTGCTGAACTCACAGTAGTGTTATTAGGTTATAATCCAAAAAATACTACTGACTGAGGGAAGGAGCTGTTGATAGCATGATTATTGCGAATAGCAGCCAGATGTGTGACACCTTGCTTTTGAAAAAAGCCAGATTTATGTAGTATTAGTGGCACATAGATATGAATTTTAGTAAATTCTTTCGGCAACAAAAATGACACGTGTTCTCTGCATTGGGATCAAGTAAACAATATATGGTAACCACTTTTGCAAACTGATACTCAAGACACCCAGATCTTGATGATAAATTAGCCAAATACAAAAGAGACATTTAAAGGTAGCAAATAATACTATTTGAAAACATTTCATGGAGTTTTATTTCTGTGGAATTTTAATATTTACATACAAAAATTGTGTATGTTGATAATTATGATGACAACAATAAAACATATAGAAATAGTGCAAAGTTTTAGACACAGGCCAAAAAAATAGCCCTTTTTCCTAGCTCACCACGTAAAATCAATGACGAAAAAGGGAGTCATTCAGCTCCTGGGTTTTGGGCCATTGCAGATATCTAGCTGCAGTACGGTCTGATCATCATCTCTTGTTAGAATAGTACAGTTTGTTTGGCTCAATGTAGATGGAGACAATGGATTCTAGTTTGGGCAGAATCAGCCCGTAAGCGTCTTTAGCACGCTGCAAGAGCATACTCCAAGCTCTCAGCTTCTGCTGACCCCGATTTTTATTCTACTTTAAGGTCAAAACCCTGGTCTTGATCATTAAAGTCATTAGCGGGTGAGACCCATTGCCATTTGTGAGCATATTTCCATCTATATCCAGAGTGGCAGTATTCTAGGACAACTGTGCTAGTAAGTCCCATGTCCCAGATGAAAGATGAGGAGTAGAAACATCAATCATTCTCAGATACACATGTGAAACAGTCTTCCAGGTGAATCCAGGTAAATGAACCCTTTCTAGGTACCCTTACCAAGTTACTGGAAAAATGCCACCAAAATACATTGGTGAAACATTTCTGCTGTAACTGGCATGACAGAATGGGATCATACGGTATATATTCCCCAGCAATTTATTCAGGATATCGAGAAGAAACCCAGAAAGTATTAAATGCAGCAGAACATCATCATGAGATTTAAGAAACATAAAAGTTATATGTATGCTCTGGTGAAAAGTGTAACATACTAATAAAAGGTAGAAAGATTGCCTGTTATACACTTTTTTAAAATGTAATTTAAATTTTCCTGAGGGGCTATTTTTTGTGTTAATCTAGTTTCTCCTTCATCAGTCCACACATTATTAATTGTATCTCACAGTCAGTAACAAACTAAAGTGGCTGGCGGAATGCCACCTAAAAATTAAGTACCAAAGGTAGTACAGCTTGTATTCATAATTGTTTAAAAGATGAAAGTATCTTGTGCAACTTCCCATGACTGGTTTGGAAATAACAGGTAAGCTACTTAAACTAGGCTAATAAGGCAATTTATCCACCTTTCATACCAGTCCTTCAACACTAAATGTTGTGCAACCTTGTCCAGGGAGGAAGAGGGTTGAAAATAAGAGCTCTTGAGAACAAGGGAGGGCAATGAAGAAGGGAGAACGAAGCACCAAGCACTAGTGCCGTCAGAGATGGGAGGCTTTGGAGGCTCCAAGTATACCCTTCTGTAGGAGTGATAGCAGAAGCTAAAATGGAAACTCGATTTGGTCTTGGAAGAGGATTTTATTTGGAAAGATAGCATCTGGTTTAGGTGAAGTTTTTTGTAACTCAAACTACACAACCTATTGACCTAATAAGCTCTCTGTCTATCAACTGGCCTCTGAGCACAGAGGTGTACTGAGATACTGGTTTTGTTAATTGCTTTCATCCATCTGGGCTTTCAGCTGGTGATAGTGTTTAAATCTGGGCTGAAAACTGATTTTACTTACAATAGTTTTAAAGAAAGTAATATTAACTCATTTGTCCCCCCCCTTAGCTTCCCACCTAGCACATGCTAGAAGACACAGCCTAACTGATGCTGTACTTTTCTAACATGTTGCTAGTTAATTTAGGACACTGACTCCTCTTCACATCAAGAACAGTTGTGGCATTTTAATTTATTACTGCCTTACTGATACACAGCACTATTCCTCTGACTGAGTTTCTGATCCCCAAAACAGAGAGCAATTTTTGGCTGCCAGTTGAGTGCATAGTTTGGCATCTCTGCTTAAATAGTTGATGAACATGGCTTTAAGCAACGTTGTCAGATTTTGCACTGTGGCAACACCAAGTGGCAAGCAGAAGCAATGTGCTGCTGACAGTGCTGTGGGAATAGTAACCTCTGCCGGGGTGCACAGCAACTGCTGGGGTGCTAACACCTTCAGTCACTGCAGCCAGCTTGCTAGACTCATTTGTCGATATCCCAACATGAGCACTAACAGCTCAGCATTGATCCCCCCCTCTGCATGAGTTGGAAAGTAACAAACACTGTTCTAAACAGAGGAAAAATTCAGTATCAAACAAGAAGTGGTTATAAAATGCTATTAAATCACAGTGGCAACATTGTTTTTCCTCTTTATCTGTTCCTACCCCAGGAAAAAAAAAGTCTTTGTCTATGCTGTACTCGCTAACAATTATATTGTACTGCTTTTCAGCATGCTGGCAGTCCTACCCTCTGTTCACGTACACCAGTCTTGGCTTAAGGAATATTTGTATTCTAAAAAAGACTCCATTTACTTTGGCGGTATCTCCTTAGGACACTTGTAATTGGCTTTCTACTATCTTTGTAAAAGTTTAAAAGCTTTTTTTTTTAACCTATTCAGAGAGCTCTTCTCTGTTTTTCTTTCATACAGCAAGAGGTGGGGGCTAGAATAATCTCAAATTATTTATTTAGAATGGCCCTTTATTCAGCTGATAAGATGGTTTAATTTATCAAAAAAAGAGATGAGAAATCGTGAAAAAGCCTTGTAAAAAACCAAGAAAACTTTCAAGCTGGAATGGCCTATATTCATCATGTCTCATAGTATATGCAGGTGACTCACTCAAAATGATAAATCATGTGGAGCCTATTTTCAGTGTTATGAAGCCCCTTTGCTCATGATTTGAAATAAACTGGCATGGCTCTGACACATCCCGCATTTTTTAGGCAGTGTCAAACAATGATTTCATTTATAGATGAAGTGACAGACTCCAGGCTGGTGGCGTGCCCCCAGCTCCCCACTAGCGGAGCAGCATCAGCGCCAGCCCCCCAAGCGCAGGCCAAGCTGTCCCTCACTCTGCGCCTTCATCTTCTGGGCAACACTTCCACACGGAAAACCCCAGCCACACCACACAGAAAAACACTCCCATCTATCCTTTCATATGTTATTTCAAATATTTGCTTTTAATAATAATAAATTTAATTTTAATATTATTTGCCTCTTCCAATAAGAACAGGATGTTGGATGTTTGAGCTTTTTCCCACCTAAGCAACAGGAGTTGGGCAGTACCTGAGCTTTTCATCCAGACACCAAACAGCATGCTTAGGAGACTGTGAAACCACATTGGGGCTTGGCTTTCTCTCAGTTCTCTGAATTAAAACACAGGCTGAAGCCATGGCAGTCCTTACCTTACACAAACAAATAAAAAAGGAAAACTTAGCAATGGTGGACATTTTCTAATGCTCCCAATAATTCTGGTCAGACCCTTCTGTCGTGGTTTAATCTCAGTCGGCAACTAGGCACCATGCAGCCGCTCGCTCACTCCCCCC